GGAGAAAAAATAATGTACAGTATGTGGAAAATAATGTGTTTTTTGAACCTTAAACCGCATAAACACATTTCATTACACCAAATACACAAAATAATGTTCTTTTTAGCAACATCATATGACCCCTTTAACCTTTGTGTTAAATATTAAATATAAATATATTAATTATAAACATTAGATCATAAATATTTTATCTACATGCACTCTTATTTTTTTAATTACCTGTAAATACAGGTTTTTATTACCCGTACATACAATTTTCTGCATTATGTTTAAAATACAGACTCTTTACCGAAACCAGAAATCAATGCAAAGCTAATATGGCTGTGCTTACAAATATTCAACCACCTTAAAGGGGAAATTGTTACCTTTTCTGAGGGAGCTCCACATCATTTTCAACTGAAGGAGATTATTTTTACCTTATATTACGAGATAACTACTACACTTTTCCTCATAGTGTGTCTTCAAACCAATGTGAGTTTCAGGTACATTCTAAAAAAAGAAAAAAGGGCTCCAGTGCTTAAGTACTGCCCTGATGCTGGGCTTAGCAACAAATTCACCGCCACAGTGACAAGGATTGGATGATGCTATCCAAATTCAAAGTTGTTATTGAGAGTTTCTGACAGATTAATCTCCAATCAGCTGTGAGATTAGACTAAATAAAATTACCCATCTGTGTGACAGTAATATGCACAAAAAATGATAAAGCCTCTCGGCAAACAGATTTTAAGTTATCTGACAGATGTAGTATTCTCTACATTGACAGCTTAAGAGATAGGGCCGCTGGAGACCATAATTTGACATGCACAATAACAGATCAGAGCAAGTCAACAGATAAGAGCAATCTTGCTGCTGAATGCAAATTCATACCTTATGGAATACTGTCTCAGCTGTCTACACCTGTCTTACTGTACGTGCCAAAAAATGCTTAACCGCCAGAATGTGGTTTCTATGAATCGCATGAGGATTTCCTTACACAAACTCACTGACTAAACACTAAAAACTACCCTGTGCAAGCACCTGCTATGATGAAGGAGGAAACTCATCTGCTAATGAATCTGTTTCTATTGTTATTTGCATAAAGCAATAAGGATGTAGATGCAACGGCAAGTTACATGAGAATTATGGAAATGAAAATGTCAAAAGTGGGCATAAAATTATTAAAAACGTTTTTAAAGGAATGATGAAAATTGCGTCATCATGTCATTCCAAACCTGTAGGAATTTGAGGGTGACTAAATGACAATTTTAATTTTTAGGCACACCAACCCTATAAAGAATGCAGATTAAGTTATGATTTTGGTCATTTGTGAGAAAACTCGAGGGTAAGGGAAGGATGTTCCTCCACTTTATTCCACTCCCTGGTGAAAGCTGAATTACACTCATTTTGTACCTAATCAGTCCGTTACCACCACAGTCACTAATCAGAGCCTGCTGGCAGAATCATAATGAGATAAAGGACAGTATGTCGAGTATCGCAGGGGAGGTTGGGCAACTTTGAAAGACTGAACAAACTGGAACAGCCTTCTTTCTATTTATAACTTAGCTGAAGTCATTATATTGCAATATTTGACTAAGAGGTGTGACCATATTTACCGTATATATCTTGCAAAGTCAAACAAAACATTTAAAGATATTTTTTCATGGTTAAAATACGAAAGACAGAAGGTTTAAAGATATTTTTTCATGGTTAAAATACGAAAGACAGAAAAGATTCTTCTTCAAAGCAGTCAAGCTAAAGCACTTAATCATTTTAAAGTCCTATAATAAGCACCAACCTTCTTTTGTTGTTGTCATATGACAAACAAGTGGTGCTGCACAACCACATCATTTTGATGGAAAAGCTGTCTTACACAATTCCTGAAGTCATGGATACAATACTTGCTCTGGAGAACAGATACGAATTCCACCCACATTCACAGGGATCAGCGAGTTTGAACCTCTGATGACTAATCGCAAATGTGCAGGAAAAAAAGTGGAGAGCAACAAAACAGATTAAGTGTTCGGGTCTGTGGGACCCGTTTTCACTTTTTGTCAAAAGAAAAATGATATGATTAATTTTCTGTGAAGAACATTTATCAGAACAAATTTTCAATGACCACACACTGTACACCCCCCTACACACTTACATTACATACAGAATGTTCGGGTCCACTGGACCCGGGGCTAATAAAAGAGTGGAAATTTTAGGTCCTGTGTACTGGGCTAATAAAAGTGTGGAAATTTTAGGTCCTGTGTACCTTCACTCTGTCCTCCTATTGTCTGAGCCTGCTATTAGTATGTGTATATGTGTGTATGTGCGTGTGTGTGTGTGAGAGAGAATCTGTGAGAGTGTGAGTGTAAGTGTGAGTTTTGTGTTTCAGCCACTAATCTATAATCCTTATGTATAGATCAGTTGTTTCTGCCCCTGCCATTCCCACACAAGGTTGTAGCACTTTAATTAATAAATGTGATCTAACAAAGGGAAAGGCCAAATATTAACCATATATGCTGTTTATATTGCTTGTAATTAGGATGAAGTAAACATCTGTTGAGTATTTTAACATAAAATTTCTAATTGTGTTGAATTAAAAACCCCAAAAAATGCAGCGGGTCCACCAGACCCACGAACACTGGCTGAATAACAAAAATATGAACACCACACAAGGGTTCATTTAGAATTAGAATATTACTTTAATTTTTTTAAAAATCATACTGACTTCAAACTTCTCATTCAGGCAGCTTGAAATAAACCCGGTGATTGGTAATGGTAGTTTACTGTGCTATTTGTAAACATGGCAAAAACTGTTGCTCATGAGATGAGTCATCCATTAATCAGATCCAACCGTGTAACAGAAATAGAGCTTTGCCCTTCTCGTTGCCCTTTGGTATCTCAATAGCACACAGCAGGACAGCTGGTTAACACCATCGTTGTTCTACATTCATTTTGGTTTTGATCTCCTGCCTGCATGTGCTGGATCAGAGGCACGGGGGGAAATATGACACAGATTTAAGTGGGTAGTCATGTCTTACCAGCTGAAGTGAGGAGGACATGATAGTCTGTGCCTCTCTGTGCAGGAACATCTTCATTCATTTCTTCTTTCTCGGATTCCTCATAACGGTCCCAGTTGGACTCAAGCTTTCGCCTAGAGAAGGTGTTGTCCTCCTCCTCTTGCTCAAAGTTTTCTTTGTTGTCATTGTCATCTTTATTCTGGAAAGCAATCAGAAAAAAAAAAGATGACAGTGAGCAAGTATGACACAATACAATTGTTTTACTGTGACAGTCTATTGGAAACATGAAAACCTTTAACAATATTGTGCAATGATGTTACGTTACGTTAATACCATAAATTGATTATTTATAAAATTAAAATCATTAAAGGGTCATGAAACCCCGTTTCAGCACTGGTTAGTTCTCACCACGGTTTTGAAAAAACGCTAAAAAAGTGGGCGTGGTGCGCAGTGCGGAGGAGGGGGAAGAGGGGAGACAGACAGACAACACACACAGCTTCACGTTCAGACAGTTTCATTTCACTCCCATCGAGTTAAAACACAAATAAATAAACAGCCATTTGCACTCTGCATCGAAAACATATAACGTTATATGAACGCGCTGTTGCACCTCTGAGAACTTTTAAGGCTTATTCTGTGGCGTTTATATAAGCCTTTTATAGAGCTGTAAAAACGGTTATGTTCACCAAGTGAATGAATCGCGTTTGTGCCGAACTCTTATTACAAAGCAAAAACAAACACTCTTCTTTGATCCATGAACGTTTCTCTCAGTTAATGTGCGCGATGTCATCTCACAATCTGAAGCGACTGTCATAGCAAATCAACACATGCTGTTGTGAATAATTAAGCGAAGTGTCTTCTCATAGGATAAGAACACGCAGTCTCATGAATAATTTAATAGACACCGATGTACTATAGTCCATTGCAACGTCACAAATAGTGACGTCAACACAATGTAGATTTTAAACCCGGAAGATGTTTAAATTAAAAAAATTAACCCGTTTTCTCCAACAGTTAAAATTATCGGATGCTAACATTGTCTTCTATGATGTGCAACACAAACACCTCTGCTAAAATCTCAGAAAAAGTAGTCTGGGGTTTCATGACCCTTTAAAAGAGTGTGGGAGTCTCTCTGAATGGTTGTCACTTTATTTCATTTTCATATATCTCATATTTATTTATATGCCATTTGTGTCTAATACCAAGTTAGCAGAGTTTTATAGTAAAAATAGCCGGAATTATTGTTGCCATGGTGATTTTTTATGTGTAAAACTTACTCGTCGAAAATCTGCAGGAGGTCCTAACTCTCCCCCTCTTCCTCTACGATGATCCCGTTTGCCTCTTCCTCGATGGTGGTGGCCTCCTCTTCCGCGACCCCGGTGCTCTCCCGAACTGCCGGTCTCAGCATCACCTCCACCTCCACCTCCTCTTTTCCAATACCCACCGCGTCCCCGACTGTGTCTGCCTTCCATAACTGAACATGAAAAAAATTAGAACCACAACCGTTGTTACACTTAAAAGAGAACCCTGTTCAATGGGGGAAACGTTCCGCCCGTTCAACTAGTTCCGCCTAACGATAAATGCGAGTATATAAATTGACAAATGTGCATCAAATCCAAAGTTTAAGCTGGTCAAACTGAGGGAAAACAGTATGAGTATGAGTAGTATTAAAAGCAGTAGAAGCAGCGGTGTGTGGGTAATGTGAGATCTGGCTCGGTGCTTATTCCTTTGCTTAAGAGAATGTAAAAGGTAGCCTAGTTATTGTATTTTCAAGGATGAACACGTTGACTGACATATTGACATATTGCAAAAAAGCAATAAGTAAAAAGCTTATATCAATAGCTATCACCGTAATTCCCTAGTTGATCAATCACAGTACATTAAGGAAATATTTTTGTATTACACTTTTTTTTTTCATGTTTAGCCTATGTTTAAATATGCAAATGAGGAGCTATCTAATTATATAGGCCTATGGACTAATCTGCATATATTTCTGAAATCTGAACATGGAATAAGGCCAGGTTCAAAATCCTTATTTAATTTAGTTGACATATTAAGAGTTAAAGGTTTTTACAGAGGGGATTTTGGATATCCATTTTCATCTCTCTGAATTATATATAACAAACCCCTTCTTAAATCTTTTAGAAAATTGATAAGAATTAAACTGGAAGATTTGGTTTATGTAAGTGCTACTGAAGTGGAGATTTGCAAAAAAGAGATGCAAATAGATAAAAAGTAATAAAATTAGCACTTAAATGTGTATTTTGAATGTGTTCTTGTTATGGAAACAATATAATAGTCCTGAATAGCCCAAAATCTCAAAATTGACCAGTGTATGAAAAACAATGGATTTGCCTTTATTGTAACAGGCTATTGTTATCCCATAAAATATTTGGCCCGTATGAAAATCGTTATTTTATAGGCATCACACACAAAACATGCATTTTTCTGCAATTTCTGTTCAAATTTTCCTGTTTTTGAAGTGTTCATTCTCTTTATTGTGTTTTCAGACTATCCATTGCCAGGAAAACATGAAGAATATTCATTTTCATTCATTAAAAAAAAAAGTTTTCTAACCGATCATCAACGGTAACAGGATGAACATGGATATTCAAAATTTAACCACAAGTGGAAATGTCTCTGCTATCCTGCCTGCCCCATACAGTCTGTTGGAAGTCATAACCATTGCAACAGTATCAGCAGTCGTGAGTCTCATCACAATAGTGGGGAATGTACTGGTGATGCTCTCTTTCAAGGTCAACAGCCAACTTAAGACTGTTAACAACTACTACTTACTCAGTTTAGCTTTTGCAGACCTCATTATTGGCGTGTTCTCAATGAACCTGTACACATCTTACATTCTCATGGGATACTGGTCTTTAGGAAATATAGCATGTGATCTGTGGTTGGCACTTGACTATGTTGCAAGTAACGCATCAGTGATGAACTTGCTGGTCATCAGCTTTGACAGATATTTTTCTATTACAAGACCACTTACCTACAGGGCTAAACGGACCCCGAAACGTGCAGGCATCATGATTGGCTTGGCATGGTTGATATCGTTTATATTATGGGCTCCACCCATTCTGTGCTGGCAGTACTTTGTTGGAGAGAGAACGGTTCCTCCTGACCAATGCCAGATCCAGTTTTTCTCAGAACCCATAATCACATTTGGTACAGCCATAGCGGCCTTTTATGTACCGGTATCCATCATGACAATCTTATATTGCAAAATCTACAAAGAAACAGAAAAACGTACTAAGAACTTAGCAGAACTCCAAGGATACCCATCGCTGGACAGCCATGAAGACCCTAAAGTACGAAAGCCAATACTACGATGCTTTAGCTTTAAAAGCAAGAGGGACGGGACTCAAGCATCATGGTCTTCATCCAACCAGAGTTACTCAACTAGGACAACATTGCAGTCTGAAGACATGTGGACAAAATCAGAGCAGGTCACCACCCTGAACAGTTACACATCATCAGAGGATGACGAGCGGTCCGTCTCTGAAACAACCCCACGCGAATCATTCAAGAACCAAGAATCGACAGTCAATAAAAATGGACAGCTGGTCTGTCATGAAGACAGCAAATACCTAAGTGATCTTGCAAAATGCTCCCAGACAAACAATAAAAAATGTATGTCATACAAGTTCAAGCCGATCCTTAGCGACATCACTGCTTTGCAAGGTAGTACCGAAGCCGATAGAATAAACACAGATCATTGTCAGTCCTCAGAGCCACAGGCTCCTTCATCCACATCCTCTTCTACCAAACCAGAAGATCCAAACTTGAAGATCCAGATGACCAAGCGGAAACGAATGGTCCTTATCAAGGAGAAAAAGGCTGCTCAGACTCTCAGTGCCATTCTTCTGGCATTCTTCCTCACCTGGACCCCATACAACATCATGGTACTCATCTCCACCTTCTGTTCTGAATGCATCCCAGTGTCCCTCTGGCATCTGGGCTACTGGCTCTGCTATGTCAACAGCACCATCAACCCCATGTGTTATGCCCTATGCAACAAGACCTTCCAGAAGACCTTTTGGATGTTAGTCCTCTGCAAGTGGAAGAGGAACAGAGGAGAGGAGAAACTGTATTGGTGTGGCCAAAACCATTAAGTAACAGCAGAGATAGCAGACTGTAGATCATGATGAATGATCAAGAACAATTGTTATATTAAATGGGCATTAAAATTACATTTTAGCTTGACAGACCATATTCTTTGCCATGTTCTAGGCAATATTTTTGTGTACATATTGTTTATATTGCCATATTGATTTGAAAAAAATTATATAATTTATTAATGGTATTTAATTTAGCTTCTGTTTTCAAAGTTTATAGATCACTTAACATGTTTACACAATAGTGTATTGTAATATTGTAAAATGCCTTAAGGCTAGGGATGGTGAGGACATTAAAATAAAGATATGGATTGTGAACTTATTATTATAAATACCTAACACACACAGTGTTTATTACATGATTAACTTTTTTGTGATAAAATTATTTTCATATATTGTAAGCCGTGGTCATGTCAGTGACACTGCATGCATAGAAACGTTTATTGAAATATCTGGTGTGCAAAGCAATGTTGTTGTATTATGTTTGCAGAACTGCCAAAGCATCACTGTAGAGAAATACACACAAAAAGATTGTAGCTTCCCTCTGCATGTAAAATTAATTTATGGCAGAGATTCGATCACATTTTACAGTTCTACAGCATCCCAGTGTGCACTGGTCCATAATAGAAAAAAAATCTTTCATAATTGTTGTGCCAAGAATTAGATCTGAAATTACTTCAACATTAACACATCATATAAACACATTTATAAATGTTGCCTGGCTGTTTTCCATTCATATTGTTTAATAAGTCTCTACTCTTTCTGTTGTGATGACATGCCATTTAATTTGATGTGAAATAAATGTTTTAAAATGAAATTAACTCAACTAATTGAAACATCAATCTGGATTTGGCAGGGGTTCCATCTTTTATTAATGTCTTCAGTCAAACTGAAGATTTAAAACTACCCACTGACATACAGGTGCATCAATTGGTGGGTTTTTGTTAAATGTGAGCCAAAATCATCACAATTAAAAGAACCAAAGACTTAAACTACTTCAGTCTGTGTGCATTGAATTTATTTAATACACGAGTTTCACAATTTGTTGAATTACTGAAATAAATGAACTTTTCCACGACATTCTAATTTATTGAGATGCACCTGTACTAGCAACTGTTTACCAGTTACTTATCATGAAATGTGGTCTTAAATGTTGATGTCCATACATTTTACCATGCAAGCATCATGCTGAGAACAGCAGACAAATAATTGAGACTGATATTTTCCACCAGTTTATTTTCATTCAGTTTAAATAAGATTATACTTCATAGCTTAAATCTTATGCATTTCTCATCTTCATTCACAGTCTTGTACAAACCCAACAAAATATAGTAAATATTATAACCTAAAAGCTTTATTTCAAGTAGTTATGAAACAGAATTGGGGTCAACATCACCTCCTTGGGCTGGTCTGGAAATACACATGGTATCACTGCAAAATATATGAAAGATCATATATTTTGTATCTATCTTCACCCTTAAGCTCAAGTGTGCTTTTGAAATATCCCAGGCTAGAATGCTTGAGACAAACGGAGCAAAACAACTACATACATACAGTAAGTATTAACTTCTGCATCTGATTTTGGCTTGTTATGCAGCCGTAATGCAGCTATTGTATCAACCCAAAGAACTCAACAGCCAATCAACAACATACAAAATTTTACTTACTAAAGATTTAATTCTCACTTTTATTCAAGTCATAACTGAGGTGAAACTGCATTGACCTCAATTCTGTGAAGGAATCATATCTGTGTGATCTTTTGCACAGCAGCAGTAAAGGCATAGACTAGCATCATGTTAATTGCATTACACGATATTGAAATGTTTTAGCAAAACTGAATATCTTTGTAACTGTCTCCTCTTGGAAGAGAAATCTTGTCCAGACTTTCTCACTCATTCTACTTATAAAGTTAAAACATCCGAATTAAGCTCTAAAACAAAAAAAATACATAAACATGCCTCGCTTGATCTCTACTGGTTTTATCCATTACTACATTTTATGTATAGTTTTCAGAGTATCATTACAATGACTAAAATGATCTGATTATTGACAATGCATCCAAAGAAGACAATTAAGCATGGAAAAGTAGTACAGTGCAAACACAGTCTTGCTTCGTCAAGCGTTTCAGTTGAAAAAGAAACTGTTCATATATATATATAAAAGAGGAAACCCAGTAAAACAGTGTTAAAGAAAACCGACAAAATACACAGCACTACCTCCTCTTCGGAGCAACACTTCTGCTGCCTTTGTTGCCTCCACTAGACTTACTGGAGCCCTTGGAGAATAGTTTAGTCATGAATTCAGAAACATCTGGCAATTCTGGGTTAGGGTTCAACATATTCATAGATTGCTCCATTTCCTGCAGGAAAAAAACA